CGCCGACGACGACAGCGACCTCTTGTTCACTGTTTGTTTGTTTGAATAAAAAAAGCAAGAAAGATTGCAGTTCAGTACTTGAGTACAGTACTTTATAAAGATTATACAGTACATCATAACTATGGAAGGGACTCAAGAGCAGCAGCGTTCAACCTGTGCGTGTGTGAAGGCCAGCACAGAGCTCAAGAAGAAAAATGCTGAACGGAACTAAAATTATTTCTTGACTCTTGGTTATCAACGTTGGGTGTGACAAGTCATTTGAAAAAATCTCCACCTTGTGAATTGCTTGCCTAGAAAACTTTCAAGTTCAATATTTCGAGGGGTGCTCAACAGATGGCTAAAAGTTTCAGTCTTTCTAAAACCATTTGTCTGCATTGCGTCAAAAGAATAAATACTGTATACAGCATAGTGAAAATGATTTATACACGGAGCAGCAATTCTCTACAGCAATTTTTTTCTGTACAGGAAGATCTTTTTACAACAAAATTGTGGGGACTTCAGAAAAACTTTGCTAATTATAATGAATAATTTGTTGTAATAAGATTTTTAAAATTCTTGACAGGGAATATTGCCCCAAATTAAACTTGCATATATTCAATTTGTGGCCTTCATTTTTTAAAAATTTTCCATCTTCAAAAATAAATTCAAATGTCAATAACAAACATTTACTTTGAATAATAGGTAAACGCTAGCAATCTTGGCAGACTGCAAGTCGAGTTTTTTAAATAAATTCTTGCACAGATTTGATAAGTAGGATATTCCAATAAAGCTCACAGTTCTTTAGCATCAAGCATCCAAAAAACCCTTTCAATATGAGTTTTGATGGGTTCATTCATTTTAAACAACCCCCTCCCCAACATTAAGTAAAAGTTTTTTATGCCAAAAACAGTATTGTAATGATATTTGTTTTTTAATGATACTTCACTGTAAAACAACTTGATTTTTTCCAATCATAGGGTTATTACCCATCATATAGAGATTCTCCACCATTTTTTTCTTGTACAGCACTCTGAATTGTGTTGCAGAAAGAGTCCAACTGTAATCTTGACTTGAGTAATGCATTCATACCTTTTTCTTGGTTGAAAAACACATTTTGAGAAAACAGCTTCGATCTATCCCCCTCAGAATGTATGATTCAGGTATGATTCCATTTGTCATTAATATGTCTCATAAACAAGAATTGTAACTAATCAATGATGCTACATTTGATTTACTATAGGTACCTCTTTCAAATCCTTCTTTTTAAAAAATTGATGTAGTGTACTGTACTTGGAACTTGAAAATTTCAAACTTGTAAGACTTGGAATTCAAAATGGCAATAAGGGAAGCCTAATATCTCACACATGTACAGTACAGTATATATGTGCCAGTATAACTCACTCATGGGTGGCAGTTTTGCCTTGAGCATGTCCATGGCAACCATGTTGATGAGAAGAACCCACACAGGGCAAGCCAACAAGTTCCCCGCTGCACCATGCACAAAACTGATGGCAGACACACACTGGTTCTCCAACTTCCTTCTGTCTGGATATGCCCTCTTCAACTCACGCTCCACATTCTGTCGACAACGTCAACAATGTAAATACAGTATATAATTATTGAACAAACCAGGGTGAACATACCTGACGAAATTTGCGGACATCAAAGAGCGTTTCTGGCTTGTCAAAGGGAAGGGCACCCCTGGCCAGTTTCATGATTTCTGATGAGGCTGCAGTTTCATCAAGAGCAGCATTCATGACCAGGACTGGACTGCGAGACACTCTCTTCACCAAGATGTTCCCAGAGGCATCCATCTTGAACTTGACTCCATGGCCAACCAGCCTCCTGATTTCTTCTGCCTCCTGGTCCCTCAAGCCTGAATCAAAGCCTCTGAGACCAATCCTGAAACAAAAGTGGACAAATTTACAGGTCTTGTCTGTTGGGTTCACTGGATGGCCAATATGTGCATATAGATGTCACTTCAACAACCATTATATGCTCAAGTTTCAATTTTGGACATTGATTTGTATTTAAGCAACCTATGGTCTGTCCAGAAAAGTTTTTT